CTCTCTCTCTCACACACACACACACACACACACACACACACACACACACACACACACACACACGCGCACACACACACATTGTCGCAAGTGAAACAAAACGTGTGAAGGCCATACTCACACAGGAGCTTTTTAAACGGAATCTAGCCCAGATGCACTCAGGAAACACACACCCAAAAAAGAAAATGCAAATGACATATGCACATGTGGGTCAGTCGCACCATTGGCCAATCACCATGTTACATTGTGCAAGTGGCATGCTTTGCAAAATCGTATCAGTTGGGTGGATAAAAGGTTTGGTAAGTCAAGGCTTTTTGCTCGTTTGGGGGATTCGAATCTTACCTCCCACCAAACAGAAAGTAAATAGAGTTCTTTCCCGGCCATAGATGGCTGTCATCGATGGCTCTGAGAGTTAGGGCATATAGGGGCTGAGATTCTCCCAGATGTATCTGGCCATTATTGCAACCAGCTTCAATCCCAGAGTATGCCCTGTGATGTTTCTGGAACCTTCTCCTCCAGAGGACATCTTTATCCCTACACATATGACATTCTTCTGTTTTCTGTTCCTTTTATTTCCTGGCCAAAATCAGACTTTTTGTTCACACTTTCGTTTTTTTTTTAACAACTAATCTATATTCTTCTCTCAATCTCTACATATATATTTTCGTCATTTTTCTCATCCTGACATCCTCTCATTACTTTATGTATACAAGTCACAGCCGCACCGCGGCGATGCCGCCGCAGGCGGGGGCACTGGCATGTGACCCTGCGGCACCAACCACACGGTGCAAGTCTGTGTGTGTGTGTGTGTGTGTGTGTGTGTGTGTGTGTGTGTGTGTGTGTGTGTGTGTGTGTGTGTGCACGCGCGCGGGATTGATCTGTTTTTGGGCGCGGGCCTGTTATGTACTTCGCTGAACTGGACGCAATCAGCGGCCAAATGCAGAAAACCGCTATTGATCTGTTTTTGGCCGTGCATCAGGCAGGGCTGCGAGCGACTATGCAACGGCTGCAAAAATGGTCGTATCTGGACGCAATTAGGGGTGCAGAAAACGGTGGTTGATCTGTTTTTGGGCCTGCAGCAGGCGGGGCTGCCATGTACTCGTATTCAAACAGCAGCCTCGTCGCCAGAAAGAAAAAAAAAAACGGGACACCCGCACCGCACGAAACGCAACGGGAGACAGCCTCGACCCCGCGGCCGCCGGGGAAAAAAACTTCCTGCGGCCAATGAATTTCGCTGGACACCTCGTGTACTGTCCAATCGCCAGAAAAAAACGGGACACCTGCAGCGCACGAAACGCAACGGGAGACAGCCTCGACCCCAGACAGCCTCGACCCCGTGGCCGCCGGGCAAAAGAACTTCCTGCCGCCAATGAGTTTCATGGGACACATCGTGTACTGTCCAAGCGACGTGCAGGCCTCATTTTTGCTGGGCCCGGAGGGAGTGCACGTCGCTTGGACCCACTTACCAGGATCCCTCATTCCACCTATAGACTGCCAGGATCAACGGCCAGAACGGAGAACCCATGTAACTGGACCGTCGCCCCTGGGCAACCCACTCAAAATGACAGTTTTGCGACAGAACAGAGAGCCCATGTAACTGGAACGTCGCCAGGCGACTGCAAATTCGACAAAGGTGCAGCGATCCGTGCATATCCGCCGATGAAGCGTTGGTAGTACCCGGCCAATCCCATGAAAGAACGCACTTTCTTAGTGTTCGTCGGTTCCGACCAATCTTGAATGGCCTGGATCTTGTCCGTGAGCGGACAGATGCCTTGCGGCATCACAAAGTGGCCCAAGTACTCGAGCTCTTGTTGCACGAATTCACACTTGGCTTGGTTGGCCTTATACTTGGCCATACGTAACCTGTCCAAAACGGTGCGTGGATGCGTGAGGTGCTTGTCCAAAGTCCGGCTATACACCAAGATGTCGTCGAGGTAGATGAGCACAAACCCGTCCAACATGTCGCGGAACTCCGTCGTCATTGCTGCTTGGAAGGTGGCCGGGACATTCGTGAGGCCAAATTGCTTTACGACCACTCGAAGTGCCCGTATCGCATTTTGAACGCGGTCTTGTACCGGTCCCGTGGATGGATCTCGATTTGGTGGTAACCCGACTTGAGTTCAACTTGGAGAAGTACGTGACACCGCTCATACGTTCGATAGGATCATGGATTCGCGGGAGCGGGCCAGCATTCTTAACGGTTTGCGCATTTAAGTTTGTGGTAGTCAATGCATAGCCGCAGTTCCTTGTTCTTCTTCCGGACGAAGAGAACAGGAGCACCGTAGGGCGAGCAGCTAGGGCGTATCCGGCCCTTGGAAATGAGATCATCGAGTTGCGTTCGAAGCACTTCGAGTTCCTCTTCGCTCATGCGGTAAATACATCCGCACGGAGGTACGGCCTCGTCTTCGAGGATGATCTCGCGACAAATTGGTCGACCCGGTACCATTTCAGCGGGAGCTTCGAAGACATCGCCGAAGGAGTCAAAAACTCTACAATGTGTGGGCCCAGTGGCACTTCCGTCGTTGGCTCGTCGGGAGGAGGGAGGGCGTGCAAGAAGCAAATGCCCATTTCTTCCACGTCTTGTCGTGCGATGGAGTTGCGTATGCTTGCCGCGGAGTGCACGTGACAACCAATCGAAGGGTGAGGCACAGGAACCGTGCATGGGATGAGTATCCCGTTCCGATCACGAACGTGAACAGTGCAGCGATAGAAGTTCACTGGGTGCTCCTCGCTTCGCAGCCACAACATGCCCAAGATCATGTCGAACTGTGTCCAAAACGTTGAAGGACACGGCCTCGCGTGCGTGCGGGGCAAAGTATACGGGCGCCGCATCAATGCACCGGTCAATGGACTTGTGTGTGTGATAGTTGGCCAATGTGACTTGTGTGGACTGCGACTTCCTTCGAATGCACGGCCCGAGGCCGGAGCGCACCATGAAGTCTTGGCTGATGTAGTTGCGAGTAGCTCCACAATCGATCAAGGCGCTGCAGGTCACCTTTCCGATCTGAATGCGAATGTAAAGTAACGGCGCGTCGATGTTGTCGTACCATTGCGTGGCGTACTCGCGATCGATCTTCGAAAGATACTCGCAAAGGTCAACAACCGCTACTCCGTCGTCCGTCAACGGAGTTGGTACTGCAGCGTGCAAGTACTTGCGTAGCTCCGCCATCAAGGCGTTGCAATGCGGTTTCGGCAGCGAACCGGATGGGGGAAGAGCCAACCATTGGAAGTCTTCCGTCGTCAACGGATCGAGGTCCTCAAGTTTTGACCACACCGACGAGTCCCCGAATGATAGTAGTGTCGGTGATGAAGTCGGGTCGTTTGTCGACGGTGATGGAACCGCGCATACGTGAGCGTCATGACGTGGAGAGGTAGGTCCAATGGAGCGACCAGCTGGACAGCATAGTCTTTGAAATCTTCCCGAAGACTTGCGACATCCGCATGCTCCCCGAACATGTAGGAGGTTGCTAGCAAGGCAACCGTGTCCGACGGAATGGAAAGTGGAGCCGCCTCACTTTCCATGGAGCTCAGTTTCCCGAGCTTTGTCGTGGGCGAACGTCGTCTTTGCCCTTGTCGGGGCATTGAGTCGGAGTGTGCTTGGTGCTATTACACCAAAAGCAGCATCCGTACTTCTGGCGGAGCTTGTATTGCTCCTCCGTAAGACTGAACTTTGCCCATGGCTGATTCGGCTGTCCGGCTTCCGACGTCGATGCTGGTTTCGCCTTTTTCTTTCGTGTGCTGCGTCGCGACGGAATGGCATTGACTTGGCTTCCTTCACTTGGCCCTAAAGTCGATGCCGGGTCTTCTTCTTGTCCATTTGGTTGGACTGCAGCTACAGGCTGTGTCCGTGGTCCTTTGCCTTTGTCCACAAAGTTCGGCTGTCCGGTCTTTTCGTTCGTGGCACGCCGATTGTGTTGGATGAGGGAGCGTGCTTGCGTGACGATTGTATCGAAATCGTCATAGTCCCCCACTAGTCCCAATGCTTGCGTTAAGGAGTCGACTGAACATTTGAAAAACTTGCGACGAATGTGTGAGAACGGTAATTTCAGATCCGGAAGGGCAACAATCTTTTGCCATTCGGTAACCATTTGCGCGTCAGCTGGCTCCCTTGCTACATTTGGAAAACTTTATTGATGCCCCTGGCAACCTCGTCGTGGACGATGAAGCATGCTTTCCACAGAGCTTCAACGGTGTCCCAGTCCAACTTGGTGTGAAGGCGGTCCATATTGACTCCTTCCTTGACCGCCAGGTGGTTGACCCAGACTTGGCACACACCAGTGGTGTTGAGGTAGAGTGCCGCGAGCTTGAGATGGTCGGGGACTTCGCGGAAGCTTAGTTCCGTGGTACAGCCTTGCCACCATGCGAGAGGCTCCTGCTTGGTGTAGTCGTCAAACTTCTCAATGTTGAAGTTTGGCATCTTAAACGGATGTTGCTGGACACTACCCGATGGTCGCTGCTGCAGCGTACGGCGACTGCTGGTCAACGAAGCAATCTGGTGACTGATCATTGCTGGTTCCGTGAACGTGCCAATGTCGCCGATGGTGGTGACCACATGGTCGATCCGCTGCTCCAGTTGTCGCATGGACGGCTGGTGGACTAGAGGTTCGCCGCTAGGTGTGGCGGCATCCGTGTTGTCCAATTCTTCGAAGAGGGTGTGAAAACCTCGGTTGGTGCCATCTTGTTGGTCCCGGTTGCTGTCAATCACCTGCGCCAAGCGCTGCAGCTCCTGCTGCTGCCAATTGCACATTGCTATGAGCTGTGCAGTCATCATGGCGATTTCTAACTTGGTCTTCTCTGCGTCCGCCGGGTTGCTGTTGTTGTTCGTGGCGTAAAGTGCCATTTTCTGAGTGTCGCCACGTAGTCCATCTCTCGCTGTTGCAGCGTCGTGCAGGCGATCCTCCTTAATTGGTTGATCGCCGCTGCTGCTTCAGCCTGTTGTCCTTGCTGCTCCGCTGCTGCCTGTTCAGATGCAAGGATGCGAGCGGCCTCGGTGTCGTCGCCGCACTTCCTCTCTTCGTTGATGAAGTCCAAGAAGTTGGCCACACGGAGCTGATAGGCCTCGACGGTCTCGTTGGGCGCTTGCCCAGTCAGGCCAGGCAGGCCCAGACCTGGTGCCCCTGGAGATGAGCTGCCCCCGTGTGAGCTCCCTGGGGCTGCTGCTACTGCTTCCATGCCTGCGACTGCTGGCTGCTGGCAGTCGACAGTAGGTGGCTGACGTACGGCAACATCAGATGATGCTGGTGCAGAACCTTGTTGTGCTGCGAGTCCTGCGCTGCATTGGAGCATTCAAGCTGCTGACGTGGCACTTGGAAAACAATTCGAACAGCAATTTCCAATCCCTTCGTTTGACACTAATCAACAGAAAAAAGAATCGACAAAAAAAAAGCTCTCTTTTTTATTTTTATTTTTTATTTTTTTATATCTGTCGATGTATGTCAGGCAGGCATGGTTAGTACTTTAGTAGTAGTGAGCTAACCTTAACGTGCTAGTGACCTCAATCCTTTGATCGCGGAATTTCCGGGTTTCATGGATTTCGTGAAATTTGCGGAATTTGTAATTCGTAGAAATTCGCAAAATTTGGGGATTTCCGAAATTCACGGAATTCCGGATTTTTCCAAAAATCGCAGAATTCCGAGGAATGCAGGATTTCTGTAATTGGATTTAAGGAGAAAAACGAAGTAATAGCCTAAGAAAATAAAAAAAGTCAGTAATTGATTGGTTAATTAATCATTAATCAATCAATCAATCAATTAATCAGTCAATGAATGAATGAATGAATGAATCAATCAATCAATCAATCGATCAATCAATCATCAATCAATCAATCAATTAATCAATCAACCAATCGATCAGTCGATCAATCAATCAATCAATCAATCAATCAATCAATTAATCAATCAATTAATCAATCAATCAATCGATCACTCGATCAACCGATCAACCGATCAATCGATCAATCAATCAATCAATCAATCAATCAATCGATCAGTCTGATGAATCAAGATAGTAACTTTGATTGGGCAGATCCTCATCTGAGAGGTCGGCCCCGATACCAAACTGTCGCATGTCAATATGGTGCAGACCAGAACCAAGAACCGACCGCTCACAGATGTAGCAAGGATAGCACAGTGGAGGACTGAATTGCCAATAATCAGACCCAATGAATGTCGTGACAGAGACTGAACATCATCATCATCATCATCATCACAAGGTGTGAAGGGGGACCTGGCGCTATCACACAGAGATGAAGCGCCAGGTACCGACATACATGGATGAGGAGGAGGGAGGAGAGACGAAGAAGGGGGGGCGAACAAGGAGAGATGTCGTCAACCCAAAATGTCGTCAATACCGATCCCAAAACAGTCCCCCACAATGTCGCTGCTCATATGTCAAGTCTGAACATCAATGTCACCGAGTCTCAATGTCGCAAATCTCTCTCTCTCTCTCTCTCTCACATAGTCTGACGAAGGAGGAGGGACCAGAGCGCTGGACGGGAAGGAGAAGAGCGATGGACTGGAGGAGGAGGATGAAGAAGATCTCTCTCTCTCTCTCTCTCTCTCTCTCTCTCTCTCTCTCTCTCTCTCTCTCTCTCTCTCTCTCTCTCNCTGGGTGCCAGGTACTAACCTGCGAAAGGTGTCGCCTTGATGCAGGTATGGATGCACGGAAGACGAAGCTGGAGAGCTGGAGCCGTCAGGTAAGTCCTCAGGTAAGTCCCCTGGCCTCCACCATAACCCGTTCTCTCTCTCTCTCTCTCTCTCTCTCTCTCTCTCTCTCTCTCTCTCTCTCTCTCTGCTGGGTACCAGGTACTAACCTGCGAAAGGTGTCGCCTTGATGCAGGTATGGATGCACGGAAGACGAAGCTGGAGCGCTGGAGCCGACAGGTAAGTCCTCAGGTAAGTCCCTTGGTCTCCGCCATAACCCAGTCTCTCTCTCTCTCTCTCTCTCTCTCTCTCTCTCTCTCTCTCTCTCTCTCTCTCTCTCTCTCTCTCTCTCTCTGCTGCGCTATACTAGCGCTGAAGCCCTACTGCTGCGCTATGCTAGCGTTGGAGTCCTACCGCCACGAAGTGCCTGAAGAATGAATGCTGCTTCGTAGGCGGACTAGGTATATATAACGCCAGTATTTTGAGTTTTTGACCCTTCGCTTGCCAAGCCTCAAAATGCACTGCGTGCAAAAAAAAAACGAACCGGTGCAGGCCCTCTTTTGGCTGGTGCTGCTCTCCATTTTGCTCTTGTAGGCCGACACCTTAAACTTGTGGCGCGCATGCAGCCGCGTCGAAGAAAAATGGCTGGGAAATGTACTGATGGTTTAAAGCCTAAAATCTGAAGCCTTTTGAAGTTCTAACCAGCGAACCACCAGATCCCCTGGCGGCTCACGTGTGATTCACGATCAAAGAACAGACAATGCATGGAGAACGATGCAATGCTGAGATAAACGGAAAACTGATGTGTGACCCCTCCACGTGCGAGTGTCAGCACGGCTTTAGTCTTTCACATGGTACTACGTCATCTTGCTCCCGTTTTGAGCCTCCATTAACATAGGCTGACAGGAGGCGCGGACCTTACGAAGATACATACAACATCCCTCCATCTGATCTGGGATCCATCCTTCATTATGTACAGAGCCGTTATGCAGTTAAGAGCTCATCGAGCTTGGAATCCCTGTCTTCTCTTCTCTTCTCTCTTCTCTTCTCTCTTTCTCCTCTTCTCTGTTCTCTTTGCTTCCCTCTTCTCTTCTCTTTTCTTTTCTCTGATAATGGGGCGTGGTCCGATCCCCATGTGGCTGGATGGGGTATAGTCGCATGACCGAATGGGGTACAGTCCCATTCCCATGTGGCTAAAATGGTCCACTTCCATCCCATGTGGCTGGATGGGGCGCGGTCCCATTCCCATGCGGCTGAATGGGGTGCAGTTCCATTCTCATGTGGCTAAATGTGGTACACTGACTACAGTCCCATTCCCATGTGGCTTCAATGGTCCAGCTTCATTCAATACAGTGCGCTTGCTTCTGCTCTGCTAAATAGTACATAANATGGTCCAGCTTCATTCAATACAGTGCGCTTGCTTCTGCTCTGCTAAATAGTACATAATTTTCGTGATTGTTTTTTCCAATTAAAAAAAAAAAAACCATCACGTCTTCTATTATGGGGGGCATCAGTCCGGTTGCTCATCACTGGCAAGCAAAATCAGTTCACATAGAAATAGGGGATGGCCCTTGTCCACGTGGCCCAAGACACCCTTCGAGGGGGTTTAGGGGGGAAGGAGGCGGGCCCATTAGCCACTCCTTCCCCGGGGCATATATAATGGCCATGAAACAGCCCACTGTACCCAGAGTCCCATTATATATGCCACGAGGATGGGGGCCCCGAACCCCGCCCCGCCCCACCAGCCATGGAGCCCCAAATCCTCCAGTAACAATCTTATGTAAAGTCCTATCGGGGTAACTCCCCCCTGTTTTTTCCAATTTTACCCCTAATCCTCCGGTAACAATCTCATTTGCAGTCCTATCGGGGTAACTCCCCCCTGTTTTTTTCAACTTCGCCCCAAATCCTCCAGTAACAATCTCATGTGAAGTCCTATCGGGGTAACTCCCCCCCTATTTTTTCCAATTTTAGAGTTTGAACTTTTAAAAATCATACACAGGACTCTTACTCCACAATCTAGCGCGCAAATTATCTTTGGAGATGAGGACAGTGGTGCAACCTTGCAGATCCAGCCAGTCAAGCTCCTACTTACACATACATTTTTTTTTTTTCTTTCTGTCAATATCCAGCACAGGGGACTGGACAATTAGACAGGATGCCTACATATTCCCGCATTCCCTATTTGAAAAAGCGTGTTGTTGAAAAGGATGATTACTGTCTGTCGCCGATTCGAATGCGTAGTCATGCTGTGTGTATTCAGGCCAGTTTCTACTCCAATACACGCTGTGTGGTGACCGCACCTTCTATTCTTCGAGGGAAGATGTCATGATTGTCATCAGATTTTCAGAAATCCAGCCTGGTCAAGGAGGTAATCGTGTGTGAGACAAACTATGCAATGCTTCTTCTTCCTAAGTTCTTCACACTTCTTGGCCCTTGCTAAGTTCCCTTCTTCTTAAAGGACCACTACCTTTCCGGACCACTACCTTTCCAAGTTGTTGGCTGCGGGGCCGTACCTGCAAGGCTCGGAGGCGGGAAACGAAACGTAAGCCGCCTATGAATTTAATCAGTGGCTGTCTCCCGTTTTCCAGCAGGTGCTGCTCCCCGCCAATAGATTGGAGCAACCAGGCAGTCCGCTAGGAGGGGGTGCTCTTATCACCTCTTCTAGCGAAGGGACCCAAAAAAAAATAAATAAAAAAAATCAGCGGCTGTCTGCTTTCGGCCCGGCCCCCCAAGAATGCGGGGTAGGCTATATTCCCACTTTTCCCAACCACGGGAAAGGTAGTGGTGGTTTAACGGGGGGGGGGAACGAAGTTTTCTTCTTGCTAAATGCTTATACTACTTTCTTACCTAAGTTTTCTCTTCTTGCTAAATTTTGAGTACAGTTTTACCCCTGGCTCCACCAAAGAAAGGGAAAGGGCCTCACACCACTACTCGCCAAATATGAAAAATGAGAAGGAATCCTCTTCTAGAACATGGGAAGATACACCACCATATTTTTGTCTTTTGTGCCTGTGGTGAGTAGTGGAGCGAGACCTAAAGTTATAGATAGTACTCCCTTCCCTTGCCTAGCTTTCTTCTCAAAGCGCCAGTACAACGGACCCTAAATTGCCAAACCCTTTCTTCTTTTTGCGCCCGACCGGATCGAACTGGTCCGTTACATTGAAAGCACCACCTCCTTGTATACTGCCAGAAACTGCGGACGAGGGGCCTCGTACTGGTGGTTTGACTAAATTCTTATGGATAGTACCTCTCAGCTTTGTACTGGCTCTAAATTGCCAAACCCTTTCTTTTTTTTTGCGCCCGGCCGGATCGAACTGGTCCGTTACATTGAAAGCATCACCTCCTTGTATACCGCCAGAAACTGCGGACGAGGGGCCTCGTACAGGTGGTTTGACTAAATTCTTATGGATAATACCTCTCAGCAGAAGCTCCGGACTCATACTGGTGGTCTAACTAAATTATTTAATATTATTATGAATAGTACGTCTCATCCCTGCCTATGTTTCTTCCACGCAAATACTCACTACTATACTTTATAATAGTTTATAACTTTATATCCCTCCATATGTTTCCCCTTAATGAGTTATAACTTCTTGTACTTTTCTGGCCCCTGCCTTCAACAAAGAAAGATGTGGGGCAAAAAAAAGGGTGTGAAGTCTGTGGACAAGCTTCCCCTCACCCTACCCTTACTCCTCTACTATGTTTACGCAGCTTAAATGCAGGTTTTCTTTCTTTCTTTCTTTCTTTCTTTTTTCGTTTCCCTGAATTCCATTGTTGTCGTTCATCTGATAAGCTTTGGAGTCACTTGGGACTGTGCTAGGGGTGTCATCAGTGTACAATTTGGTCCATTTCACCACAACAAAACCGTTTTACCGGTGGTGAAAAAAAAATTCACCATCTGGTCCATTTTACCACAATAACACCATTTTACCGCAGTGATACAGTCGGGAAGTCGTTGTCGAGCTGCAAAATTTACCGTTTTTTGTTGGCAATGTACAGTTTTTCTCTCCCTTTCCCTTCCCCACCAAGTTCATTAGAGAATAGCTGCTGACCTGGAAATGCCGACGAGCTGGCACTGGATGGAGACTGTTCGTGTCTGTGCGATTCTTCATCGCGAGCCGTCTCCATTGTTTCCGCCTTCCTCTTCACCGCTGAATCCCCGCGGAGTCCCAAAGATAGGAGTCAAATACATTGCAAGTCCAGTTGCAGCAAATGCTGCAAGGTTCTTTATCACAGGCTGCACACGGGTTTCCCAAGTTGGATGCCAATTGAAATTCAAAATCGAAAGCGATCCGCCACGCAACAACAAACACCATGATTGCATTAGGGCAACAACAAATTCAAAATCGAATGCAAAGGATTCGCCGCGCAACACCTCTGCTGGGTGTGCTGTGCCCACAACTTGTCACAACTTGTCAATAAATGTTTCCTTAGATGAAGTTACCCTTGGTATCGATACTGAAAACCAAGAACTTGAAGTTGCTTACCGATCGAGAAGTCCGCTACTATCTACAAGGTAGTTACAACCAACTTGAAACAAGGAGGTTAGTTACTATTCCAAGCTGGTTACCAGGCAAGCTGGTTACCAGTAAGTTATAGTTAGCAAATTAACATGAGAAGTTAGTTACCTGCCAATAACTGAGTTAAAAAGTTACACTACCAGTACCTTTCCCAGCTATTTTTTCAGAGGCCCGCCGGGTAACGTGCTGGCCTGAAGGACAGCCGCCGATAAATCGAATCAGCGGCCAGTCTTGATTTTCGGGCCGGCGCGCAATGCCCGCGGCCGACGTATGGGAAAGGCACTGGTGGCTTAACATGAAACATTGAAAAGTTAGTTACCAGGCAAGAACTGAGTTACTACTATTTAAGCTTCAGAGAAGTTAAGACTTTACCACGCCACAAGTTAGTTACCGTAAGAAGCTAAGTAACAGCTTCGCACACGAGATGCACACAAACACAATATAAGAAGTTAAGAGCACTCCGGAAATTGTTCGAAAATTTGTGTCTTATACAATAGAGTCTCTTGTACGTCCATTCCGGCCACTATGGCCACCTGCACTCTCAAACAGGTACGTCTCTCGCTCCCTCTCCCTACCTACTCTCCCCTCAGGCCTCTCTCTCTCTCTGTGTGTGTGTCTCTGTGTGAGATTAGCCTTCATGCACAAATTTTCTGAGTGCCTTGTCAAATGATTGATTAGTTTCTTCTTCCTACCCAGCCCTGATGGATAGAACAATCTTGGGGCTACCACCATTTTGAAGAAAAAGGTAAAAGAAAAAAGCGCAGTCCTATCACGGCAATGCCATGGCAGTCTGTGGGGGGTAGGGTGGAAAGGCAGTGGGGACAGGTTTCTTTTTTGGTTGAGTTCGTTGACATCAACTTCTTATCGACTTTTGATCACGAGAGTCGCGACAAAGAGAGAGCATAATCCAATTGTCCATAATACTTTAAATAAACATGTGAGGG